CGGCAGCTGGGGCATGGCCGTCAATGTGTACTCCACATCGGTGACCAGTGAGAACCTGAGCCGCCATGACATGCTGGCCTGGGTCAACGACTCGCTGCAGCTCAACTACACCAAGATCGAGCAGCTCTGCTCAGGTGAGGGGCCGGGGCCGAGCCTGGGCCGGGGCTGGGGCCGGGGCTAGGGCCAGGGGTAGGTGCGGGCACGGGGCAGGAGGGAGTGCCGCGTGCCTGCTGCGTCGCAGGTGCCGCCTACTGCCAGTTCATGGACATGCTGTTCCCGGGCTGCGTGCATCTGCGCAAGGTGAAGTTCCAGGCCAAGTTGGAGCACGAGTACATCCACAACTTCAAGGTGCTGCAGGATGCTTTAGAAGATGGGAGTCGACAAGGTAGGGCCTTGCGACCCCCGCCCACCCACCCACCCTGGGGGTCCCTGCCCAGCCCACAGCTCCCGTGAGCTCTGTCCCGCGCCCTCGTAGCGCTGCCTGTGCGGGCTCCAAGCCCAGCAGGCCTCCAGGGACCAGTGACCCCCGCCCGGCGAGGGCTGGCGGTGGGTCCAGGGTGCGGGGGCCGGTGCCGGGCCTGGCTGAGCAGCACGCTTTCCCCCTGGAGATCATCGCGGTGGAGAAGCTGGTGAAGGGGAAGTTCCAGGACAACTTTGAGTTCATCCAGTGGTTCAAGAAGTTCTTCGACGCCAACTACGACGGAAAGGAGTACAACCCGCTGCTGGCGCGGCAGGGCCAGGACGTGGCACCGGCCGCCAACCCAGGTGATCACATCTTCAACAAACCCAAGAGACCCATTGGTACTGCAGGTAATGTTGCGGCCCCGGGGCCGCCCGCCCGCCTGCCCGGCTCCCACGTTGCTATCACGGCATTCAGATGTCTCGGAGCGGGTGCGGGGCGGGGGGCTCTGGCGCCGGGGATGTGGAGCCTGCAATGGAGGGGCAGGCCCTGGGGGTCTCATGACTTCCCAACAGCAGCCAGATGAGGGGAGGGGGTTGCATGTGCATACACGCGTCCCCCTTTGGGGTAGGGCGCTGGGTCCCATGTCCCTGCTCCGGGGCCATGGCTGGCTCCTGGCTCCATGGCCCTCATGCCTGCCAGGCTGGGCCCAAGGGTGCGGGGATGGGGGCTGCGCTGGGGGTGGGGGTGTACCTGGGAGGCGCAGGGTGAGCGAGGACATCTGAATCCGTCATAGCAAGGGCTTCCTGCCGCCAATCGCTTTGCACGGGGCAGGGGGCTTCGGGGCCGTCTGCTCTGCTAGCACCTGCTCCCCCGGGGCAGGCAGGAGAAGGGCTGGCCCCGCCGAGCCCGGGGGGGGCGGCTGCGCCAGACCCAGGGCCGAGCCGGGTGGGGGCGTCTGCGCCAGACCCAGGGGCTGGGGGCTTGGCTGTGCTGTCGCTGCAGTCCTGGTGCTGGAGAGCTCGGCCCTGGGGCGCGAGGCGGGCAGGATGGGACCCAGGCGTCCGGGCTTGCTGCGGCGCTCCCTCTGCTTTGCTGCCTGCAGCGTGTGGACCCACGCTGGCCCCCCGATCCCCCTATGCTGCTGCTCCGGGGCATGGCCCCCCGGCCCCCGCGGGCAGCCCCTCAGCCGGGGCTGGCTATGCCCCCCCGGCCCCATGCTGACCTCTGGCTCTGCTCCGTCCCGTCCCCCCGAGAACACTCCCC